GTTGCTATATTTTAGTGTCGCTTCCTTCAGTCAGTTAGTTATCTCATCTCACAGAAAGCGCCAGTAAAATCTGGCAACAATCGCCGCTTCCTTGTATTCCAGTGCCCACAGAAATAGTTCCCTCTTTAACAGGCCGTAACTCTGTCGTTCTCAGGTCTACATTCAAAAGAATTAGTGTTCTGGAATTGCCAGGATGTGATCCCTCCAGCAGTTTGTTTACCAGCCTCACTGAGAAGAATACACTTGACTTTTTGACCTCGACAAAGTCTGCAACACTTACCTGTAATCTTTCTTATAGTATATGCGTCCTATAAAGAGGCTACCACTGCAAAGCGTGGTCCACGTGCAGATATGGGAGACGATGTGAATTTCACCGACAGATGTAATTTACAATGACAAGGAGCTGTCAAATCTTTGCTGAAACATCATTCAATGCCCCCCCCCCAAATACTTGCCCTTGAATTGGCCTTTACATTGCATCGGCATTATCCTAGCCATACAGCGTCGAGAACAAGTTTTCATTAATAAACATTGTAACTACAGAGTCAGATATGAGTTTTATTTCAAATTGTTTTTGAATGGGTGTTTAGCAAATGTACTATATGCACACATAAATATATGGTTGTTTCACTAGTGCAGTATATGCACATACGTGTATGCGTCAGATAGCTAGGGTCATGGCGATCCCAGAACTCTAATCGTTTGGACCGTAGACCCAAGGATGGCGGAGCTACGCGCTGTTAAAGAGAGAACTATACCTTCTGTGGGAACTATTTAAAAGTATATGACCCCCGCGACCCCGGCTGCATTTCACCGATCCGCTCTCGTGTCAAAAACGTGTTCTGCCTGGGTTTAGACGCTTTCTAGCCCTTCTATACACTTCAAACACCCGTAACTCCGAGAGTTAAAATGGACGCTCCAGCTGACGTCCAAAGAAACGGTACAAGTAAAGGTAGCCACGGGGAGTGTATGGAGAAGTCTGAAAACCGTCAGTATTGCCCAGGAGGCAATCCCAGTTATTATTATTATTATAAAGCTTATTTCCTCCATATAATTATTGTACGTTATATACACATGAATACATTGACGTACATTGTGACGCCATATGCACACGTAATCTCTACCATTTCCTAGTGCTGCTCAGTTCACTTCAGGCCGGTAATGGATGCTACATCGCATCTCTGCGCAGGAATTTAAGACCAACTTCTACCAAGCCTCCTCCTCTCTTTCTCTGTATGTTTGTATGGTTCCTTGACGCGGGCTTCCCCACCACTGTGGCCTGTTTGTTATATACATCTAATTATTACGGTAATTGTATTTTCATTAACGGTTAATAAACGCTGTCCGCCTTGTGCGGGCCTATACAACAAAAATCCATGTTGTTATAATTTGCCACAAATGAACTTGACGTTCTATGGTGATACTGGTTTTGAGTATAAAATATCATTATAGTAAAAGCTCTCTGCAAAGTGTCAACTACTTAACAATTTGGTTATTGACAGTGAAACTTGCATGTATTTTTTCCAATATTTCACAGCACAATATTTCTAATTTTGTCATGTGGTTGTAGACTGAGGAATTTTATAAAGGATGTCTTGAGAACCATGATTCTTTGCTTGGTAAATTTGATCATGGCTGTATTGCTGATAAGGTTATAAGATACATTAATCACATGTTTGAATTCAGTTAATGATCCCTTTTCAGAACATGAAGTGTTTTCTAGTCTTCAAAACATTAAGAGTGGCAAATCAGCAGGACCAGATGGCATAGCCGGTGACTTTTTCAAGGCTTCTAAAAGTTATATTGCACCATTATTAACTAAACTATTCAATAAGTTATTTGAAGATGGCATTTTCCCTGAGACTTGGGGAAAGAGTATCACATGCCTTGCATAAATCTGGAAGCAAACTGGACCCAAACAATTTCAGAGGTATTTCTTTGATCAACTCAATGTGTAAAATTCTTACTTCCATAATCAATAACAGATTACAACAACGGTGTGATGACAACAACATAATCTCAGAGTGTCAAGCTGGCTTTAGACATGGTTATTCAACCACTGACCATATATTCACCTTACAAGCTATGGCAACCAAGTATTTATCAAAAAGGAAGGGGAGATTCTATTGTTTGTTCATAGACTTTACCAAAGCTTTTGACTGCATTAATCATCAAATATTGTTTAGGAGTCTTGTGAGCATTGGTGTGAAAGGGAAATTTATGAAATTTATCATCAAGATGTACTCATCATTATGTGCTTGTGTCAGAACTGATACTGGATTATCATCTTATTTCAACTGTAATGTTGGCACAAGGCAAGGATGTATTTTAAGTCCTCAAATTATCATTATTTTTATAAATCAAATATCATAAATGCTGGAGGATGATGGTGGAAGAGGTATTTTTATATCTTCACAAGCCAAGGATGTTTATTCTCTCCTATTTGCTAACGATGTCTCATCTGTATCTGACAGTGCTATGCAGCTCCAAAGGAAAATTAATGTTGTTGAAAGGTTTTGTGCAGAGACTGGAATGAACGTGAACCTGAAAAAGACTAAAATACTGGTATTTCACAATGGAGGTCCGCTCAGGGATTATGAGTAGTGGTTTTTAAATGGAACACAAATTGAGGTTGTTAATATGTATAGATACTTGTAGGTATTTTGTTTACTCCAAGATTATCATGGACAAAAGCGAAAACCTGTTTATCGTCTCAAGCGAGGAAGGCCATATTTTCTATTAACAATTATCAAAAATGTTTTAGATATATTAACCATCATGAATTGTTTAAGATATTTGACTCTATGATTGCACCAATACTCTGTTATGGATCTGAAATATGGGGAACAAGCTACTGTAAAATTATTGAAACTGTGCACACCAGATTTTGCAAGTCATTTCTTGAAGTCTGTAAAACTACCAACAACAACATGGTTCTGGGAGAGTGTGGGAGAGCTCCCCTCCAGTATCAATATATCTCAAGAGCAGTCAAGTACTGGTGCAGACTGATGCAGCTTCCACGAAACAGACTTCCTTATCAGGCATATCTAATGATGAAAACTCTCGATGATAATGGTAAAACAACATGGGCTTCTCATAAAAGGTTGATATTATTCCAATATGGATTTGGTTTCTTATGGATATCTCAAGACATAGGCTGTATATCCACATTCATGGTAATTTTTAAACAGAGATTCTATGACTGCTTCACTCAAAACTGGCATGCATCACTATTTTCGTCACCCAAATGTAAATACTATTCACAATTTAAATCATCTCTAAGCGTCGAACCATATTTAACCAGTGAATTGCTACCAAATCAACGTAAAATCATAACTCAGTTTCGGTGCTGTAACTTCAGACTCGCAGTGGAATGTGGCCGTCATACAAACACCCCGTATAATGAACGTCTCTGCCTCTTTTGTCATGCTGCTGGCCTTGATTACATCGAAGATGAATTCCATATTTTATTAGTATGTCCAAAATATTCCCAACAAAGATCTGATTGTTTTTCAATATATCTGACTCAACCACCGACAATTGAAACCTTCATCCGATTGTTGTCATCAGACAATATACATATTTTAAAATCATTGAGTAAATATCTTTCACAAGCTCGCCTTAGAAGGAATGAGTGAGTGAGTGAGTTTAGTTTTACGCCGAACTCAGCAATATTCCAGCTATATGGCGGCGGTCTGTAAATAATCGAGTCTGGACCAGACATTTGTCAACCAAGTCAGCGAAACTGACCACCCGATCCCGTTAGTCGCCTCTTACGACAAGATAGTCGCCTTGTTATGGCAGGCACATGGGTTGCTGAAGACCTATTCTATCCCGGATCTTCACGGGTCTAGAAGGAATGATTATCTGTAAAACAAATCAATACTAAACTTTACTTAGCTTTACTCAGTATGTATTTACTTTTGCCAAATGTATGTATTATGGGCCTTGGGCCTAAATTACCGACTAAACCTGTCTGTCTGTCTGTAATACACACTGACTTTTAGAAAGTGACTGAACCTAAGTTACGTAATTATTATTATATTTGGGATTGAATTTGTTATGAGGCAGTGTTATCTGGTGTATAAACAATGTTTCACCTGTTATACGTTGTACCTAAAGAGTCAGTGAGGAACATTTGTGTGCCATAATGAGACCAGGTAAACCCTGGTACCGTTACGATGTTACTTGCTTTTTTTTAGCGGTCTCCCATGATAGGAACTCTCCTGTTAAATAGTATGCTTTTAGTGTGAGCTAGTTTCATTCGTGACCAACTCGTGTTATTCCGGGATGAGACACCGAATCGTAAACACACAAAGTCAGCGATCCCAGCGAGGCTTCCACAACAATGGAAGCCTGATAACTGGTAATCTTGCTCACGCTCTTTGCGTTCCCCTCTGAGAAATATATTGTGTTTCAGTTTTGTGATTACAACCAAGTACATCCGTTGGCTATTTTGGGCATTAGATGAAAGAGTTTCCATATACATTGTAACTCAACAATCGCCATTGCCATCAGCAGCAAACTAAACGTAACTTCTGTTATAATTACTGTAAATATTTTCTCGTTCCTTCAATGTTTCTTTTAAAAACGTGAAGTTTCTTGGGTACTTTTAAAATACACGAAATTTCGACAACAATAATTGAAATAAGAAGTAGCGAGACATTTTTAATAGAAAAATAAGCTATGTTACTAAAGGGAAAACATTAGGCTTTCATAGTTATCCCCGCCGTGATATTGCTGGAATATTGCTAAAAGCGGCGTAAAACTCAACTCACTCACTCACTTCATAGTTATCAATGCGTTAGGAAATTGTCATGTTCTTGTCTGATAGAACACATTGCACAAGCGGTTGCTATATTTACTTACTGTGAAAAACAACAGGATGCTATTCGTATCCAATAGCCAAATGGAGGTGTAGGGTTGAGATTCATTTTCAAATTCAATTTAGCAAACTGGATTACTTTCATCTTGTTGTTTATACAAAAATATATACTCACCCTCTATGGAATGGCTTTTCTGACACAACACCAACACCGTTATAATGAACACACCTCCAACCTGTAATAGAAACGTACGCATATGGCGGCTTCAGTGTGTAGGGAATACTCAGAAATAACTTCTATACGTACTGCAACACTGCACATAGTGTCCAAATAGGTTTTTCGTATTTACGATATGTAATCATTAACCATTGTAACATTTAATAACTATCCGGATACGTTGACGTTAAAGGAATATTCAGATGGCAAATCTAAGCGCAGCGTTACTACCGTCTCTTGACGTAATCGCCAACGGTTACCTGCACGACGTGCCATAGCATTGTAATCCAAACTGAAGACTAGCCTTCATGTGTGTTCAGAGGATGTTCATCGATATGTGGTACTACAACCCTGTCATGGATGTCTGTGATGAAGCGCTGTGTATTCATTGTCTATTTTGTCTGAAGCTCACAAAGTCAAGTTGACAGTCTTGTGAGCTGCTCACCCACTCCTTGAACCCCGTCAAACGGTAATTGTTCCAAGATATTCTGTTGTTCATATGCAGTGTTTCTGCAGCGCCTAAAACGACCTCGGTCATCAACCATGAACAAAAGAAATTAGAAATTGACTGTCTGAATTTTACACGACACTGGACAAAACAAACGAAATCTTGTGATTCTGAGTAGGGTTGCACCCTCCTTATGGAATGATTTCTGACCAATAGTCAATGAATGAAAAACAAGCCAGAATTTCGCATATCACTAGGCTGTACCTGTCAGCTGAGGAGGCGCCACATTTGCTAACCAACAACGAAATCAATATATGTTCTAATTTATCGAGATTTAAGAACAGTTTATAAAAAGAAATTGTATTCGTCTATGCACGTGAACACTCAGAGTTCGTGAGTGAGTTAATATTTAATGTCACATCGGCAATATCTCAGCCATATCGTGACGAGAACAATCCAGACAATAAAGGTGAAAACATTTGGAAGATTAAAACCTACCGACGATGGACAGTAAAAATACTAGAGAATGACAGATATGAATATAAAAGTAGCGAGCAAAGCTAAAAAAATACAATTAAAGAAGACAATACAGTATAAACACTGGCTATAGGTCGCCAACAACTGAAGGTAGATCACCATACTAGGAACCACTGGGACTTACGTTACTTTTGCTACCTGCATGGATCCTAGCGCGATTTACACCGTCCCTTCAGCCTCTGGCGATTGTAGGAAAATTTAGCCAATAGTTAAAATGACACAATTACTATGTTTAAAATGTGATAGTTTATATTTCACTTTGAAAGTTTTGGGAACTCTCAAGAGGACAATAATTTTACGCTACTTCAACCCCCTTTCAGGATACAGCCACTAACAGTCTAAGTTGAAAATCTGAACTACCAATTATAAAACCTTATCTATTTACAAAACATATATCAAAATTAATTTAACAAGTCTATCTCTTTTAAAAAATCGATAATTAACTTTATTAAAAAGGTCCTTTACTGTTTTGATATTAAAATATTTATCCCATATGGTGGAGAATTCAACACAGTCAAGCAGGAAATACTTGACCGTGGTCCTCTCATCACAAGGGATACAAAACGGAGGATCCTCACCTTTCAATAGGTATGCACGAGTATATCTTGTGTGGCCAATACGACATCGTCGTATGATGACCTCTTCCAATCTGGACTGACAATCCAAGTAAGTGTTACCGATATAGGGTTTTATTTCATGTAATTTATTCATACCTACCTGGGTGTCCCACTTCTTTTGCATTAGATCACGGATGTAGGTTCTAATGATAGCTTTGTAATCAGAGTGTGGAATAAGAAGTGGTGTCACAGATTTGTATTCCCAGAAATGCCAACATGGCTGGGTAACCAACAAACGACGATGTCGCATTGGCAAGATCATTATACAATTCAATAATTTCGATTAAAAGTGGATGTTTACAAGAAAGATTTTTAATAGCCTGAAGACACGAAAGAGAATCGGAAAAGATTATGTATTGTTTATGTTTAGTGTGTTTTTAAATATATTTAAGAGCCGTTAATATGGCGTTTGCTTCTGCTGCAAAAATAGAGCTGTTATCGGGTATACTAGAAGATATTGTTCTGGATCCAATGACAGTGGCACTTGCCACCGCGCCACCATCCTTGGACCCATCTGTATATAAGGATTTGCATGTATCATATTTAGTTTTTAATTGATTACATTTTTGTTTATATTGTAATTCATTAGTTTCAGATTTCTTAAACTTTGTCAGAGTTATGTCAACTTCAGGCCTCATCAGTTGCCAAGGAGGAGAAGAAAGAAGACGAGAAGGAGATATATTCTCCAGCTCAATTCCGGCCGCAGCAATAAATGGTTTAATTCTGTGTCCAAGGGGCGGAACAAGGAAAGATTTCTTGTTGTATAAATCCTCATAGAGCAGGGTTAGATTTGTTAGAGTACAGTTTTGTAATATATTGTAAAGATAGTTTTATACGGCGTTGTGCAAGAGATGGCTCATCTGCCTCAAGAGACTATTGATAGAAGTTCTAAATCAAGAATCAAGAATTTTAAGGTTGCGTTTACAGGCTCCACCATACACGATGGAGCCATAATCAAGTTTGGAACTGACCAGTGATCGATATAGATGTAAGAGGGTAGCTTCATCCCCTCCCCACTTTGAATTTGACACAACTTTCAACAAGTCGAGTGCCTTCAGGCATTTAGTTTTTAAATATTTAATATGTGGTAAGAAAGTCAGATGAGAGTCAAAAATAAGTCCCAAGAACTTGGCCTCTTTTACAACCTTGATGGGTCTGTCATTGAAAAATAGTTCTGGGTCTTCATGCGGTTTATATTTTCTACAAAAATGTATACAATTTAATTTGTTTTGGATTTAGAAAATGTAAAACCGTTTTCAATTGACAATTTATGAGTTTTATTGAGACATAGTTGTAGTTGCCACTCTATCGTATGCATATTTTTACCACGACAGAGAAACATTAAAATCATCCACGAAAAGTGATCCATCAACTGAATCATTTAAAACCCTTGACAGGCTGTTTATTTTAATACTAAATAATGTTACAGACAAAATACTGCCTTGTGGGACACCCTGATCCTGATTGTAATGGTCAGACAGGGTTGAACTCACTCGGACTTGAAATTGCCTGTTTGATAAAAATTGTGAAATAAAACGAGGTGAACGACCTCTCAAACCGAAATCATGTAAGTCCTTAAAAATGTCGTACTTCCAAGTAGTATCATATGCTTTCTCCAGATCGAAGAAAATTGATACTAGGTGTTGTTTATTTACAATAGCATTCTTAACATAGGATTTCAATCGTACTAAATGATCAATAGTACTTCGGTTTTGCCTGAAACCACATTAAATATCTGTTATTAGATTGTTGATTTCCAAATACCAAACTAATCTATTGTACTCTATGCGTTCCATGGTTTTACAAACGCAACTGGTTAACGATATAGGGCGATAATTTGAGTGGTCTGTGTGCTTGTTTACGTTCATTGCTAAACCAAACCTTACGAATATGAGGAGTTGCAGAGGACTTAGGAAATGACTGGTCAGCAATTTCATTCAACAGCGCTGAAAACAACTCTTTAGGATCTGGTACATTTTTAAAATTGTCCGGTATTAATTTATCCATACACAATGTTTCATGCAAAGACAAATTTGCCTTCGTAAAATGCCATCGTGATAAAGATGGTTCATCATCCGGTTTTATAGTTTTAAGGACAGTTGGGAAATGATCACTTCCACAAATGTCATCATGAACGGACCATTCAAATTCGTTGTAGACAGTTGAATCAGCGAAGGACAGATCAAGAGTGGAATACGTTCCTGTAGCAGGATGTAAATAGGTGCTTGAATCATCATTACAAATACACAAACTATTATCAGAAACAAAATCTTCAATAACTTTGCCTTTATTATTTATATTTGTACTTCCCCATAGAGGGTTATGCCCGTTTAAATCACCCATGATGACCCAGTGTTTGGGGAGATGTTCATATAAAGCTTGTAGATCTGCCTGCTGTAAAGTCGAAGAGGATGGGATATACAAAGAGCAGAGTGTTAAGGCAATGTGAAATGTTAGCCGAACTGCAACAGCCTGAAGGTTGGTAGTAAGTGGAACAACACTTTGAATGACATCCTGTCTTACCAAGATGGAGGAACCTCCAGTGACTTTTGCACTTTTGAAGTGCTTATACAAATTGTATTTTCTGATATCAAATTTTGTCTGTGTCTCGAAGATATGTTTCTTGTAGACACATTGCTGATGGTGTAAATATAATGTATTATAATCTGTAAATCGTTCAAGTTCAAATGGTGAACGTTCTCATCGTGAGGGAGACCGCTCTGTGACGGAGGGGTTGTGTCCATATCAAGAGCTTCAAGGGAGTTATGAACGACTATCTCTGAAGATGAAGGTTTTTTGTTTGCCTGTTTTCTAATTTTTTTTTCATTTCTGGTCAAAGGTTGTACAACTGGTTCAGCTGTGACTGATATACTGGGGGCATCAGGTACATCGTCATCAATTTGAGAATAATTCAGTTTGAGTTGAAGACGTGTCGGAATCACTGATAGAAGTTAACCTGATAGGCTGATTTGAATTGATCCATGTCAAATCAGTCTGAACACAAACAGATGTGCAAGGAGAAGCAGTATGGGCAGAATATGATCTATTTAGAGGCATTATTTTAATCTGATTTTCTACAAATTTCTTTGTGTCCTGAAAAGAAATGTTTTTCTCATGTTTTAACTTTAGGACTTTTGACTGGTTTTGCCACACAGGACATAACCTTGAGGAAGCTACATGTTGACCTTTACAGTTTGCACACTATATTTCAGCTGAGCAGTCAGTGTTCTCGTGCCCCTTCTCCACAGCGGTGACACACAGCAGATCTATTGCAAGATTTGGAGCCATGTCCACATTTCTGACACTTGAAATCGGAGCGGATTGGGGACATACACCTCCACTCCGATGTTGGCATAACCAGCTTTTATTGATTTCGGCAGGACCGACAATGAAAAGGTGAATAGATACGTACTAGACGGAACTATGTCACCGTCTCGTGTTTTCATTGTGAAACGTTTGACTGTCGTCACACCTTGGTTTTTCAGTTCAGTCGCGATTTCCTTCTCAGACATGTTGTACAGGCAACGTCCTCTGTCACGAACAATGCCACGGCATAAATTCAAGGTTTTGTGCATAGACACAACAACCTCAATGTTCGCAAATGTTTTCAGTGATAACATGTCCACTGATTGTTGTCTCCTTGAACACTCAATAAGCAATGATCCACTTCGAAGACGTGTCACGTTCTTCACTTCGCAACAAATTCCTGAAACAGCTTTTGAAAAAGTGAATGGATTAAGTTTAATTGGTTGTTTATCTGCTGCCTCGATAACAACAAATCGAGCCCATGAATCAAGTACAGGACAGACATTTACATTTTGACCAGTTTCATCAGTTTCTACTTGTCTACGTTTAGATCTAGTTGAACCAGGGTTTTGTTGAGTGGAAATAATGTGATTCAGCATCCATGCTCCCCAGCCACCATGGAGTGCCAAAAAGAGCGGTGTTTAATAGCATCGGATCTCCAACATGCAAACATCGGGGATACAGGGATGTTATACTTCAGCAAATATGACGCGAAAAGCTGCGTTAGTTTACCAAAGTAAATGTTTGGTTGGTTCGCCCAAAACAAGAAATTGGAAACATGCAGATTTCGGAGGACAACATCACCAAATTGGCCCATGAGCCAGCGCCTTCTGGCATGAGACTCCAGGCAGATTTCATTTTGACAACGTAAATACGTTGGCCAAGACCAATCAAAACATATTACAGATTCAAATAATGTATATGCATACAATTCATGCACAGGGCTTGGCATGACCAGCCGATTGGTTGAACCGGGCCCATTCAACCACCCGTCTAGGTGAAGTCAGGGCCGAAGTGGTGTGTTCGGCAAAGGAACACTGTTCCTGGAACCAGTGCCTTCAACTACCAGAATCCCTTCCTCCACCGACACAGGGGCGTAACCCACGGCAAACGGGTTGGTGGACCAAACATACCCCCGGGTCCACAACGGGGGGTTGAAGAGCGCTTAGCGTTACCCAGCACCCACCACGAGGAGGTGGATTTTCACGGGTGCCTGAACACTCAGACACCATATGGATTGGCTTACAAGTTTGACATCAGACTATACTTTTTTCGGCGAAGTTTTGAATACATGGACAACATGACGAAAACTACATTCAAAGTAAACACTGGTTTTGACATTGGCCTCCGTTATGTACAGAGAAATGTTGGAGTACCGACAAAAACACAGGGATGATAAGAAGTCACTTGGGGGTTTGATGATCGAGCAGCCTAATTCACCTTTCTGTCCACATTGCCTACCTTGATGAGCTGCATCCCCTTTGCGATCGACTGTGGCAGTATCCGAGAGATTGTTTCTGCGACAATGATTCTTCTTGCTATAACAACAAGCCTGTCGGTAACAAAACACTATCTACCTTCATGTCTACTCTGAGCAAGCGTTGTGGTTTGCCCCAGGTTTACGCAAACCACTGTATCCGTGCTCCTGACGCCACGCTCCTCACTCGCGGTAACTTTGCGAGTGTCCAAATGATGAATGTCGCCGGTCACAAGAGCGTCAGTTCTTTCCAACTATCAGCAGGTATCAAACAAGGAAAAGATGCATATCGGCCTTGCTATTTCCAACGCCATGCATCCTTCTTCTCTCCCATTTCTGACACCACCACCACCTCGACAGAGTATAACGGCAGCGCCGTCAGTCAAGAATGGGTACGCCTTCTGGGTTTTGCCTGCTGTCGAAACCCGCTAGCAGGAAGAGGACCTTGGTGACTTATTTTGCGATTTTCCGACCCTGAACAATCAACCCATGACAAACCAAACATCTCTTTTTCAAAACTGTAACATTCAGAACGTCAATGTTTTTGTCAAGAAATGACTTCTCCCTGTGACATGAGTTAGGCACATTCCTTCTCTTCATCAGTTGTTCGATCAGCTTTTTTTCTGTGATTCTCTCGCAGTTTGTATTTGTGAACTGTTATTGTTAATACTTCACAGTCATGGTGACATGATTTTAACGAGTTATTGTTGTGATAGAATTTAAATAATATATTTATTTTGAATTGCCTAACTGTAATTCTTATATAGCATTGTGTTTACATACGGTCTATTGCCCACGTTAAAAAACACAAGAGAGAGTCATGACGGTAAGATGAATTCGTTGTAGCCTTATCTCTCGGGGTATACGATCTCATATATCCCAGACCGTAAACCCCTCTTGATGCGGCTACAACTTATATTGAACTGGATGCTGCATGCTAAACAAATAAAATAGAGACCAGCATCAACCCAGCTAACACACAACGTTTTTACAACGTTTGTGGGAAGGTTGTAGATTGGTAACGTCATGACACAACGTTGTCACAACGTTACTATTACGTCATTTCATAGCGATATTTCACAACGTTATAGCATATACATACATACGTTGTCAATCGACATTTACACAATGTTTCATCGATTCTGAAACGTTGATGCGACGTGAACTGTTTCTTTAATGAAAATAGTAAGAAAAGAGTGACGAATTATTCATTATTTCTGCAGAAAACGTAGTGAATTGTTTACCTATGATACTACACTTTGTAAGAAGCCACAGTAACTTCATTTCTATTTGTTCTGACAACGTTAATATCAAATTTAGTTGTTAACTGTTGTAGCATTTATAGTATGCAGGTGTGAAAACGTTCTTAAATTCACTTCCTGCTGATTCTCTGGAACACGGCAACATAGGGGTTGAAAGGCCAACCTGTTTATTCATTCTGTTAAATGGCTTCGATTTATGAGATAGCCCTTTCGGAGCAAGATATAAAGTTTAAAGTACAGAGACCGGAGATAGGAATTCCTTATATTATTTATTTACACAAACCTGCTTGGAATTTTCACTTATGTAATTGTTCCCTTACTTGAGTGTTATTACATATGATGCGTCTGTGACATGTTGAACGGATTTATTATGAAACGTCACCATCGTATATTTTAAAAGACACAAATGTAGGATCAAAGGATGAATCTTGGTTATTTTTACAATATGAGTGAAACAGTATAATACTACAGACATCACTTCAACATTAATATGGATGGTCATGCAGATTTCTAGATGAAATTATTTGAATGAGATGTCAATGCTTCTCAATTAATTAACTTGATATAATGGTCAGCTAAAAAGCAAGACGAGTTTTGTTACTTTCTGATATTCATGTGTTTATTGTACATGCTGCAATGTCATTCTAAACTCTTTCAATATTTTTCGTTCGATACTCGATCACGTAATACGAATATCGTATGCATTCGCGAATGTCAGTCTGTAAGAAAAATCACGATGAATGGACTTTTCCACTGAAAGAATATCACGAATATCTCATATCATGAATATCCCAGTAATCAATAACGCGACTGAGTTAATTGGTTGATAAATATAAAATATCTGGTAATGGCTTTTCTAGCTTCAGCAATCAATACAGTGTGCTTCGGAAACGATATTCGTGTATATTGAATGCAACAAAACTGTGTGATAATGACCAATGGTAGCCTTAGTGGCTTTAGTAACACTGGCACATACCTTCATGTTAAGTCAGATGTTAAAAACAGCAGGGGAATGTGTTTTTCGTTCCACACCAGCCAGCATGCGTCCTATATCCGTAACGCCTAAGTGGTGTTAAAATTCTACAGCGATGTGGTGTAACGTCTAAGGGATAGTGACAGAGTAACTCCCCTTCTCCCTTTATCGATACATATTCCTATGAAGAACTTCCCCTGATGGCTGCGCAAGAAAAATAATATTATTTATAATACGGTTGTGTAAAATTAGAAAAGATAACTCTTTCACAAATTTAAAATGGCTATGATGTTTTTCCAGGTCAGTTAGTTTGTAAATGGTTCGCTTGAGTTTCGTTGCCACACAATTCATTTTCAAAACAACTGCTTGAACAAATGAAAAACTTTTAGTGTGTGAATTTGTGCATTTTTGATACGTGGTATTGCTGTCATTCGTCGCTGGTGTCCATTATTGAGATGAACTGCTTTCGTTGTCGTCAATAAAATGCATGTATTTGGGGTAAGGGAAACAACATCGAGGAAGTAAAAACGCTTGAACTGACGTAGTGGGTTTTCGTTTGAGGTTACAATTTGTTGAATCATGGACAGGAACGGAGTCACGCAGCTTTTGATGGTTCTTGCATTTCTACCTACTGGTATCGGTAAGATCTCTTTTTATTCACATTAGTTAGCAGTATTGTGCGTGTAAAACAGTGATTTTCTGCCCCAAATCTGTCCCTCATTGTTGATTGTTGAATTCCGATGTGATCATAAATTAAAACTCGCTCAGCCAATTCTAATTCATACTTCACTACTCGAAGTAGCAGTTATGATTACCTTACACATATGTGCTATTGTCTACTGGTATCAAACTGGAATATATTTGGATTATGTGAACGCGTATTTTCGATGATTAGCAGGAATCACACTGACTGTGTCATCATCGACCGCCCTGCTGGGTCAGAGGTTCCAGTTTACCTGCACTGTAACAGGGCCATCAACAAGAAATCTTCTAATCTTCAGAAAAAATGACAGAGACCTTTGTACAATCAGACTCGACCGATGTCAACAGGTCAGAGCTACTTCACGCTACGACTGTTCTTGTGGACAGAGTGGAGTGTACCATATGGATATAACCAGTGTCAGTTCGGCAGATGGCGGGACATGGTCATGTACACGTTCACAAACCAGCAACAACGTCACACTGGCTGTTTACTGTAAGTACGGATATGTATTACTGATAATAATATGAGGAAGTCACAATTTTGTGAATCCTAATTTTATGACGTCCTGTTAAATCGTTTTAAGGCCGCTTGGTGAATTACCTTAGTGTAGAGACCATACAATTGCAAAGTCCCAAGAAGGGATCCTAACCACGGGCTTCCTGATCAGAACAAGAACGCCTTGAAAATATGAAAAAAATTAACCCCGTTCGCAACCTGACTCAGTCGCTTCTACATTAGTTTTGGAAGTTTCGAGTCATGTATCTCTCTTCGTCACTTCATAGTTGAAATGGTATTTGTAAGTATGAAACTATTACCGGAAATCACAATCCCATTTTGAAGGCACTGAAATACGGAACTGAATTTTCCTCTCCGATTAAATAGAAAATCATATCATTGACCATAATCGCGAGTGATTTCGTTAGTGTTCGGTGCTATCCTCGCCCGTAGAAGCCTCACCAGCTTGAGGAACGAAGAATGAGAAACCGATTATCATAATAAAGGATATGCACTAAAAGGTTTCAATGTAACACGTGTGTATGTTTAGGATTGGTGTATAAGCCACTTCGCTTTACTCAAATCAGTCCTGATATGCATACATCGCTTCAGTAAGTGAACATTTGATAATAATCAATATAAACACTAGATGTGATGATTTACCCTTTATATTGCTTTTTCTGTTCTGCGCTATATCGTACAAATGAAGACTACAGTGTGTATGCTGGAATAAGAAAATAGCTCCGCACCCACATTCTGTCATTCTATCTATGATTCTGTTGAAAATACCCAATGCTATAATTTCAAACCATTTAATGCTTTCATCAGATGAATGATGTCTGAAAGTATTATTTTATCACAAATACATTGTAATTTCTAATATTTAGTTATTCTTAGTACACCTTTAACTTCATTTGTTTAAAATAATAAGCATAAATCGGTCATTGTATGTATGCAACAATTTGCCTGTCGTCGTTAAGGCTTACTCCGTTTTCCAATTCGTTGCAGCTAATGGATAAAAAACAAAATGCAGGTGTCGCATTTACAACCGATAAAGGATGTCAGCATACTAATATTAAACACCTACCATGTTTCAGTAAAGTATCGTTGCATATCGCCTTGAAGGAACAAGATCCCGTACTTCCAAAGAGCCCAAAGAAACTTGTTCCATATCACCCATCTTTGTGTGTGTATATATATATATATATATAGATATATATTTATCGTCTATCACGTAAGTGTTTTAGGTGTTTTACATGGGTTTCTTTGGTCACCTAAGACAACTCACTTGATGTCAACGGTTGAGTTCGAGTAAGTAAAAACTTCAAAGCCGCATCGGCCTCATAGTGACCAGACCAAGTCCAGACCAAGTCCAGACCTATACTAAGGTTCATCATAAAGACAAAGTAACACTTAAACACATTTTTTATCAACACGTTTTAACTTTACTGTTTCATTTGCAATTACAAAAAACGGACAATAACAATATAAGGTACTAATTAAAACATGGACTGCATGCCTAAATTTTAAAGCAAACAATTAGTTAGACACACGCATATCTACATTCTATGATACTGACCAATTTGGTCCAAGTAATTTCAGTCGCCTAACCCGCTCAGCTACCGCGACTTAGCGGGTTAGGCGGCTGACTTTGTGTGTTGGCGATTAGGTGCCTTACTCTGAGGGTGTGGGTTCGAATCCCGGATGGGGCTCAACTCAAAAAAGTACTAGAATTTGTACTTTACTAAGAAAAGTGTAATCCCAAATGTAACATATGTTACATTTGACCACTTTCTAAATGTCATTGTGTAATCACGGTAGGGTAGCCTAGTCGCTAAAGCGTTCGGTAGTCATGCCGAAGACCCGGGTTCGATTCCCCACATGGGTACAACGTGTGAAGTCCAATTCTGGTGTCCAACGCCATGTTATTGCTAGAATACTGCTCAAAGTGGCGTGAAACTAAACTCACTCATTCATTACCTTATGGCAACAGTTCCGCTCTATCTTTATTTTAATGTACTCTAAATTATTCGCATATTTGACGTTAACCATGTTTTGTCAGAAGTATACATGTTCATTTAACTTTGCTTTTGCAGACTTTCTTTCAGATGGACCATTTAACATTCTGTTATCTATGACAGTGACGAAGGATGTGACCGTCTCCCTGACTGCCATGTGTTCTGTTGTTTCAGATGGACCATTCAACAATGTGACCGTAGACGATGCCTCCCCAATTGCTGTGATAGAGGATGTGACTGTGACTCTGACTGCCAGATGTTCTGCTGTCTGTAACCCTGACTGTATCTACACCTGGAGTAAGGGGACACAGCAAGTGTCTGACAACAGAGATCTTCCTGTAGGCAGCTTCAGAAGGGGCCAGGAGGGAGAGTACAGATGTACAGCCAGGAATACAGCTACTGGAGCTACAGCTGTTAGTCAGACTCTGACAGTGAATGTACAGTGTAAGTATAGATGTGTAGTACAGAGAGGGAGGGAGAGTACAGATGTACAGCCAGTAACACAGCTACTGGAGCTACAGCTGATAGTCAGACTCTGACAGTGAATGTACAGTGTAAGTATAGATGTGTAGTACAGAGAGGGAGGCAGAGTACAGATGTACAGCCAGGAACACAGCTACTGGAGCTACAGCTGATAGTCAGACTCTGACAGTGAATGTACAGTGTAAGTATAGATGTGTATCACGTGTAGTACAGAGAGGGAGGGAGAGTACAGATGTACAGCCAGGAACACAGCTACTAGAGCTACAGCTGATAGTCAGACTCTGACAGTGAATGTACAGTGTAAGTATAGATGTGTAGTACAGAGAGGGAGGAGAGTACAGATGTACAGCCAGGAACACAGCTACTGGAGCTACAGCTGATAGTCAGACTCTGACAGTGAATGTACAGTGTAAGTATAGATGTGTATGACGTGTAGTACAGAGAGGGAGGGAGAGTACAGATGTACAGCCAGGAACACAGCTACTGGAGCTACAGCTGATAGTCAGACTCTGACAGTGAATGTACAGTGTAAGTATAGATGTGTAGTACAGAGAGGGAGGAGAGTACAGATGTACAGCCAGGAACACAGCTACTGGAGCTACAGCTGATAGTCAGACTCTGACAGTGAATGTACAGTGTAAGTATAGATGTGTATCACGTGTAGTACAGAGAGGGAGGGAGAGTACAGATGTACAGCCAGGAACACAGCTACTGGAGCTACAGCTGATAGTCAGACTCTGACAGTGAATGTACAGTGTAAGTATAGATGTGTATCACGTGTAGTACAGAGAGGGAGGGAGAGTACAGATGTACAGCCAGGAACACAGCTACTAGAGCTACAGCTGATAGTCAGACTCTGACAGTGAATGTACAGTGTAAGTATAGATGTGTGTAGTACAGAGGGAGGAGAGTACAGATGTACAGCCAGGAACACAGCTACTGGAGCTACAGCTGATAGTCAGACTCTGACAGTGAATGTACAGTGTAAGTATAGATGTGTATGACGTGTAGTACAGAGAGGGAGGGAGAGTACAGATGTACAGCCAGGAACACAGCTACTGGAGCTACAGCTGATAGTCAGACTCTGACAGTGAATGTACAGTGTAAGTATAGATGTGTATGTGTAGTACAGAGAGGGAGGGAGAGTACAGATGTACAGCCAGGAACACAGCTACTGGAGCTACAGCTGATAGTCAGACTCTGACAGTGAATGTACAGTGTAAGTATAGATGTGTAGTACAGAGAGGGAGGGAGAGTACAGATGTACAGCCAGGAACACAGCTACTAGAGCTACAGCTGATAGTCAGACTCTGACAGTGAATGTACAGTGTAAGTATAGATGTGTAGTACAGAGAGGGAGGGAGAGTACAGATGTACAGCCAGGAACACAGCTACTGGAGCTACAGCTGATAGTCAGACTCTGACAGTGAATGTACAGTGTAAGTATAGATGTGTAGTACAGAGAGGGAGGGAGAGTACAGATGTACAGCCAGGAACACAGCTACTGGAGCTACAGCTGATAGTCAGACTCTGACAGTGAATGTACAGTGTAAGTATAGATGTGTATCACGTGTAGTACAGAGAGGGAGAGAGAGATGATGTACAGCCAGGAACACAGCTACTGGAGCTACAGCTGATAGTCAGACTCTGACAGTGAATGTACAGTGTAAGTATAGATGTGTATCACGTACAGTAGAGGGGAGGAGAGTACAGATGTACAGCCAGGAACACAGCTACTAGAGCTACAGCTGATAGTCAGACTCTGACAGTGAATGTACAGTGTAAGTATAGATGTGTAGTACAGAGAGGGAGGGAGAGTACAGATGTACAGCCAGGAACACAGCTACTGGAGCTACAGCTGATAGTCAGACTCTGACAGTGAATGTACAGTGTAAGTATAGATGTGTAGTACAGAGAGGGAGGAGAGTACAGATGTACAGCCAGGAACACAGCTACTGGAGCTACAGCTGATAGTCAGACTCTGACAGTGAATGTACAGTGTAAGTATAGATGTGTAGTACAGAGAGGGAGGGAGAGTACAGATGTACAGCCAGGAACACAGCTACTGGAGCTACAGCTGATAGTCAGACTCTGACAGTGAATGTACAGTGTAAGTATAGATGTGTATCACGTGTAGTACAGAGAGGGAGGGAGAGTACAGATGTACAGCCAGGAACACAGCTACTGGAGCTACAGCTGATAGTCAGACTCTGACAGTGAATGTACAGTGTAAGTATAGATGTGTAGTACAGAGAGGGAGGGAGAGTACAGATGTACAGCCAGGAACACAGCTACTGGAGCTACAGCTGATAGTCAGACTCTGACAGTGAATGTACAGTGTAAGTATAGATGTGTATGACGTGTAGTACAGAGAGGGAGGAGAGTACAGATGTACAGCCAGGAACACAGCTACTACAGGAGCTACAGCTGATAGTCAGACTCTGACAGTGACAGTGATGATGTGTACAGTGTAAGTATAGATGTGTATAGGCAGACGTGTAGTACAGAGAGGGAGTGAGACTACAGATGTACAGCCAGGAACACAGCTACTAGAGCTACAGCTGATAGTCAGACTCTGACAGTGAATGTACAGTGTAAGTATAGATGTGTAGATGTATCAGTTCAGAGGAGAGGCAAAGAGTACAGATGTACAGCCAGGAACACAGCTACTATGAGCTACAGCTGATAGTCAGACTCTGACAGTGAATCTCAGCTACAGTTTGGGGAGGATTCAACTGACTTCTCACGCGGCGCCCAAGTTCATCCCACAAATGTTCGATCGGATTAAACTCAGGTGATCGTGAGAGCCAGTTCAAGACATCCACATTGTTGTGATGCAAAAAGTCCTGTATTATCCTAGCCGTATGTGGTCTGGCATTGTCGTGTTGGAACAAGAGGCGATGTCGTCCATGTCGTCCCATCAATGGCAGAAGCACTGGTTGCAACACCTTGTCAATGTAACGTCGGGCGTTGAGATCCCCTTGAAGAACAACCAAGTCAGAGCGGAAGTTGACGTCAATTGCTCCCCATTCCATAAATCCACCAAAGCGATCACTCTCAATGACACAAGCCTGAGCAAAACGTTCATGGTTACGGCGATAGACACGTAGCCTACCATCAGTGAAACTGACGTTGAAACGTGATTCATCTGTGAAAATGACATCTCGCCACTGTTTAGCACCAAGATAGCCACCAGCAGCTGCCCAATGTTAACGATTTAGGCGATGTGCATGGGTGAGGATCTGTCCACGATAGGGTCGACGACATCGGATGTGACGTGCAGCAAGGCGGCGGCATACTGTCCGGTCACTGATGGGCCTTCCTCTCGTTCCTATCGTGGCATTTGCAGTCTCTCGTGCTGACCTGAAGCGATTCCGAAGGCGGCTGACGACGATATACCGATCTTGCCTTTGTGACGTAACACGAGGCGCTCCCGGACGTGGATGGTCTGGGACACTTCCTGTTGCCCTATGACGTTGCTGCAGCCTCGAAACGGTCGTCTGGTGGACGTGGAAGTGATTAGCAACATCTCTCTGTGTTTGGCCAGCATGCAGCATTCCAATCGGCTGGTTCCTTTGGGCGTTGGTCAACCGTGGCATCGTGAATGTGAATGTGAATGTTAGCCATTTCTCAACCTGTGCTTTTATTGGAGCTGCACTATGGTTTTCTGTTCATCCAACTGCATTGTCCTCACAAATGCTCTTTGGTGCGTTTGAGATGTCACGTCCCTGTGATTTGAAAATATGGGATTCGAACCTAAACATCAGAGCTGTGCACTTCTTAACCATATGTTTTCACCATATTGTAGTTTTGGAAACAGCAACATCTCTAAAACGGACTTAGTGTAGAAAGTCCAATATGCGTTTTTAACGCCTCCAAGTATATATTTCCCCCTTTTTATCGTTTTTGGGCGTTTAACTGAGGTAAATCACTATGTTTCCACATACTCCAAAAGGAAGAAGGATGACCAGCTTATAAGAATGACCCAAACCAGACGCCCTAATTACTGACCATGCCATTTCTCCGGACTTATTCACTGATCGGATTATGATGACATCAAAACGAAGGGCATATGTGTACAATTGTTTAAGTGTTCATATTCAAAAAAATTAAAAGGAATGTCTGGTTCATTACTTAAACTGTATAGACCTGTAATTAGACCAGAGAACCGAAACTTTCATTGTCATTATGTTTCAGAGGAAACTATGAAACGCAAATGCAGGAGAATAAGCAGTCGTGAGCATGCAAAGGAGCCGATTTTATTTGCCTCAGAAAGGAATATAGCTGTGAAACGTTCTTATACTTCATTTTCTCTATTACAAGTAGATAGATGTGCACAGTTACACATAGACAGTAAGGTTTTCAAACGAGTTAAGAAAATGCAGTTTCATTCTTTAATATCAACATTCAACATTTGTTATTAACATTAGTACAAGAAGCAGTCTCGGCATTTTCTACTCTGTACTTTATTTAACACTTCTGGTGACGAATAAATTGTCACCTGACTGTACTATACTGTACTTTAATCCACCTGTCGTGTCATTTAAGTTAGAACCGCCACATTTTCAATCAACTGAATCATCGGCAGCTGACAGTAAAAAAGAATAAATTACTAGATATGAGAGAAACCTTACAAGCTTCACAAGTATATATGTAAGTATAAATTCAGAATATAGGAGCTGATTGTGTGTTGAATGCAGGTATACCAAGTTTGAATTTTAGGAACTTACTCCTTTGGTTATCTGCTTTGTCTGGAAGCTCACCTTTTACTGTTATTATCGTTTCATAAAATACCACATGAGTTACAGTTAATGTCACATATGAATGATATATAACCCTGCAGAAGCAGTCTAGTGATTATGTAACTGTTTATCTCGACAGGGCACCCAGGGGCACCAAACCACAACTGTCCCTCCTGGATAGTCCCAGGTCAGACAGCCAGCTGTACATGTCAGACATCAGACAGAGGTAACCCTGCAGGGACAGTCCAGTGGATCAGTCCTGGAGGTCAGACGGTCTCCTCATCCGGGTCCTCATCTGTGCAGCTCAACTTGACCTCCATCCCGAGATCTGACAATGGGCGGAACTACATCTGTAGGGCAAACAACTCTCTACCCAGCTCGCACAGTGATGTAGCTTACGTTGCCAGTATTGCTTGTACGTACTAAACCTGTAGAATTATCATGTCTGTAAATATATATAAAATGTCACATTTTTCTATTGTGCACAATGTCCAGACTCTATGCATAGTATATTATCAACACTGGAAATATTCAAATTCAGTAATTCACAAAAATTTCTGAGTAAAGTTTAATACTGAAAACACACTACGTCATCATATCATAACCTCCACACATTGTTTTTTCTTTGAAAGACAGCTCTAGTCGTCTTGTTCTAAGGGTCACTCTTTTCGCCTTATGTTAATGCTAGTCTAATGTTTTAATCATTCATGTTTCATGCCATCGTGTTTTCACACCCCAATCTAGTGATCTTGTTTGATCTCTCTGCTCTTTTCAACTTGTTTAACACTCATTTTGGGACGGGGAAGCTGTGAGTATTCTTCCTGGAAGGATGGTTGCAGCGTCTGTCTTGGGAATCTGGTCACGTCCCTCATGATATAACTCTTGTGGCTAGTTCCTAACCAATGAATAGTTTTGCACTTTCCCAGGCACACATAATGGACATACTGCCAGTGCTCGCAAATCAATCGACAATTAATGAGCAGTGGTGATAAGATATATCTGTGTTTGATCCATATGCAAAAGGATGATGACGGTTAGGGTCAACGGTAATAAATGGTGGGTCGTCGTCATTTACAATTGTCAATCATGCGCTTTGTTATAAGATTTAACGTTAGTCATTAATAGAAACAAAACTGTTACAGCAGCTTGCAAAAAATCACTCGTAACAAACCCACAAATACCAATTTATCAGGTGAATTTTGGTATTTCAAACCAGTGAAAGAGGGAACTGACCTGCCAGCCTGACGATTGGTTGTGGAATGTTCAACTAAGGCATTCTATCAGATTGATGATATCAATTTAAAGACTCGGCAAGATGTGATATCTGTATCACCGATGGAGTAGGTATCATGACAATTTCCCTTTTCCAGACCTGGATAAGCCGAATATCATACTAGACAAGAACGACGTAAATGAAAATGATACAGTGAACATTACCTGTACCGTTGAGAGTAACCCTCCCGCAAACATAACAATCGACGTCAACGGCATACAAGAAACACTAACAGCCAGTAATAACCTCAAGCGCTCAACAGTCAAGGTTTGGTGTAGTCACAACGGTACCGTCACATGCACAGCTGAGAACAATCAGACTAAGGAAGTATCCAGGAGCACAGCACAACTGAATGCAAAATGTATGTATAATACATGAATGTTTGATATTTATGCATGAAACATTTGGTATTTTTTTATTTTTGTTCTGAAGTAGTTTGCAGGATCAAACATTATGATATTTGATATTTGTATTACTGGAGAAGTTTCTCATAAAACACACCACCTAATCATCAGAGTTAGCTGTCCGCATGTCAGAGCTCCAGATAAGATTTAGCTCATGTGGGTACTGTACCCACTGTATTTTTTTTGGAGTGGGTATTGTGAAAGTTAAATGGGTATTTCATTTTCCGTTACCCAAAATTTTCAAATATGTGCGTATGTCAGTCATTTTACTCACCTAAGTATGGTGTCATTGAGTAAGTTTACTACGCAGGTACGTTCTGCCTTATGTCATTCCTAATCAAAACCAACTTAAATATAATGGAAATGATTTCATAAAAAATCACTCATCATATACTGGCAGTACAACACTAGTCCTATACTAACAGTACAACTTGATAGCAACCGTTTTCTTTTTCCTTACGCAAGCGACTTTTATAAATATATTCCGTACGCATTTGTTTTAAACCTTTTGCATATCTAACATTTTTAATGCGTAATTGGTACGCAACAATTATTTTTCAATGCGTAATTGGAAATTTTCTATGCGTATTTTACCCGGATACGCAGCTTATCTGGGCCTCTGGCATGTTGTCTCTACCAGCAAATTATGGTATGGAAGTCTTCTTGAAAGACAACTTTCACAAACGATGCAACAAAACAGATAATGCAACTAGAAAGGGATAATATGTTGTATACCTCGATCTCTTTCAGGTCCCCCACGTGAGGACTTGAGCATGTCGCGAACCGTGGTTCCCGGGGAAACTCATGACATTTGTTTCACTGACAGCATACGTTATAGCCAATCCACTACCTCAGTTTACTTGGTATAAACATTCGACTGAACCTGTGGCCAACGGAACAGATAGTCTGATTGATTCCAGTGGCCTCAGTTCCACTTTGAGAGTACACATAAAAAGTGAAGAGGACTTTACAAACTACAGTGTCGTTGTTGAGAACAACATTGGCAACACTTCACTTTTCTTCAGACTGACAAAAGAAGGTGAGTTAATGTTTTACGGATAATGATGCCTAACGCTTACAAAACATCATCGGTCGCACGAATGTTCACAACAGCTCACCTTTTTCAGTGAAAACCACTATTTATTTCACAGTAAGGGTAATGTTTGCTATTTAGGAATGCATTGATAACATTGTGTATATATTAACGACTTCGGCCAGATCATTCAAAACATTGTACAAAAGCTCTTATCTACCTATTTAACACATAGCATGTCATTCAGCGTACTATAACATAGACCCAGCCATTCAGTGGAAATTATTTTGTCTTCCTATGCAAACAATTCCTTCTACAACTCATCAATGAGAAGTTTCAACGAAGCGCAGAGTCATCAGTTTACATGTGCCTGTTTTCAGTTGGTGGAGAATCTTCAAATGACCAACCATTCAGCATCATCCCTGTAGCAGTTGGAGTCGGGGCAGCTGCCGTGGTGATTTGGTTCATTGCAATAAGTGTCTGTCTTCACCGACGAGGCGTTCTGAAATGTTCAGGTAACCTTTCTTTCAATTTATGTGTGAGCGAACTACCACGGGTACTTGATAAACAGTGACTTTATATTAATATTCTGTCGAAGTGCTAGGCTAATGTGTGACACAGACACCAAAGAAATGCTCTTTTATGAGGCATTTAGGCATTTGTTCCATGGACATGATTATACTTAAATTTTTTGGGACTTCCGAGGCAATGCAATTATTATGAAGTTTCCAGTGAGGAATGTCCTACAATTGCCCTGTTGAGGATTGGAATACATCCCTCAAGTTACATTTGATCCAATTCTGCCCTAAAACGGTCCGAGAATTTGTTTCAGGTACTTCGAACAAAAAAGACTGTCCAGGGCCACAAGGCGATGGTCCTCGTGCAGCGGACAATGTCTACATAGAAGGAAACGATGTAAGCAATTACACAATATTGTATCTATACTGAGTCAAAAAAGAAACTTCACAAAATGTAATTTGAAAAATAGTGAATAATTATTCTCTGATGATACATCTATGTATCCGAAAAGGATTTCCCTATCTCTCAACTCTAGAAAAACCGTAGCAAAACCCACTCAAACCCATCCATTCGTCGTGCAAATGACGTTAGTGCCAAATCAGGTTTTGCACGTGCAGTCGATCACGTGATCTTCGCATCGAAGTTTTCTTCATATGCACAGTTCTAACGGTACTTGAAATGCCACGATTGTCAAATGTGCAACATGAACGTGCCGTTGGTATGTTGCAAGCGGGAAGATCAGTTATTGACGTCCCAAGAGCAATGGGATGCAGCCGTCGTACTGTGTATGACTTGCGAGGTCGTCTACAACAAACTGGCACCACTTCTGATCGCCCAAGGTCGGGTCGTCCACGTGTGACGTCACGAGCAGAAGACCGTCAAATCTTCCTACGTCACCTACGTGACAGATTTCTGCCGGCTACACGAACCAGGGCTGAGATGTTTAGAGGTCGACTGTCCTCACAGACCATTCGAAATCGGTTGTTGTGGGCTGCCAATCTCCATTCTCGACGTCCATATCGTGGGCCAATACTGACGCCGTTTCATCAACGTCAACGTCTGCTGTGGGCCCAACGTCACCTCCGATGAACCCAGAGAGATTGGAATCGAGTCGTCTTTAGCGATGAATCCAGGTTTACCCTCAGATTCGCGGACGGCAGGCATAGAGTCTGGAGACGACGTCGTGAACGGTATGCCCAATGTTGTGTACAGGAAGGCGACAGATTCGGGGGCGGAAGTTGCATGGTGTGGGGTTCTTTCTGTGGGAACAACCGTTCCCGACTTCTGGTCATCCGTGGAAACCTGACAGCTGCTGCTTACCGCGACCAGGTGCTCACCCCTGAACTCGTTCCTTTCATGGCGGCTCATGGCCCAGGTCTACAGTTCCAGCATGATAATGCTCAGCCGCATACCGCGATGTTGACACGAAATGTCCTTCAAAACGCTGAAATCAACGTCATGGACTGGCCATCGAGGTCCCCTTACCTTAATCCAATAGAGCACGTTTGGAATGCTCTTGGGAGAAGGCTTCGTGGTCTTAAGAACCAACCTCAGAATTTGCAGGAACTTGGCGCTGCCTTGCAAGAGCAATGGCGCAGAATCCCCAACCACGTGTTCACAAGCATCAGGCAGGCGATGAGGAGACGGTGTTTGGCTGTGCTGAATGCGCGGGGCGGCCATACACAATATTGAACTGAGAAATTTCGCATTTTTATTCTTGTGACTTGACATTCTGTATACCCATGTTTTGGAACGGCGGTGTACCCTAATGGAACTGATTATGGCACTGTCAGTGTATCGAGTACATCACACAGATCTCAGCAATGAAATAATAACAATTTAACCATCTTACCATCTCTTGTTCTTTTATAGTGCCCTGAAGAAAGAACGTGAAGTTTCTTTTATGACTCAGTATATTTTGTTAATGGGGTAATATGTAGGAGCTGATATCGTCTTCAGTCTTTGCGAACATTGAGAACTCTTCACTACCAACAGGGTGACGATTACCCTGTGTCACTATACGTCGTGTAATACAGTATTCTGTAACTTCCAGGGTGCGAAATGTGGACGCGATGAGGATGGACTCATGTACGTCGGAGTTGAATTCGGTAAACAAGCTACGCCAACTGCTGCTCCAAAGCGCATAGAGGACGACACTGAATACGCGGGTATTGCACATGGTGTGGTCGGTCTTCTTCCGCAAGATAATGATGATAAAAAGGAGTAAAACTTTTGAGTCATGAATTTAACCACAGAGCAGAACCTAAAACAAATTAAGCTTTTAAGTTAGGTATGTTACATAATATAACTACTATGAAAGTATATTCTGGTGCCTTGTTAAGTCTTCAAACCTTTTGTTTCCTCGGAACTTTTTAAAAGTATTACAAAATTCATAACAACTGGTACCGCTACAGTGTTAGATAAATTACGAAACAAACAGACGGTGAACATAACGAAATTTATATAACGCAATAACACCTAAAGCGTCATAAGTTTATTCCAACTGAGGTTATGATGGCGCCGGATATGTCGACGTATGATATACATTGTATAATGTATTCAGAAGAAAATCCAACAACATTTTAAGATGCAACGTGTTGATACTTAAATTATTCAATATATCGAACTAATTAGGTTAATATCACTGTCTGAAAGTAAACATAATCGTATGTTGTTCAGGTGGTGTTTTCTGTACTACGAGAACATAATTATTCCTGCCTTTACCCTGATTTGCTCAGAATAAGCCACTATACATAGTTCAAGGACACCGTATAAGGGTATGATCTAAGTTGAATCCGAACATGATATGCGTACGCACAACAAACACAAACACACACACACACACACACACCACTAAAACACGAAAGGATACAGACACGAAACCACACACAAGGTACTGAGTTATGTTTATATGTTATTCTGAAATCCTTCTTTTCTGTTACTATTTGCAATATTTTTACAGTAATATTTACCTACAGTCAATATGTATTACGATTTCCTTTTTATCAGTTTGATGTATTCAGTTTGATGTATTCTCGCTTTAGATTTATGGCCTCTTTTTTATTTAAGTCGTGTTCACTCAAAATGTCACACCCTTCTTTCAGTGGCAGCTAGGTATACACAACAACACTGAAGTGAACACAGAATATGCTGTACATATATTCGTAATACTTTCGAGATGTATTCGTTGTACTTTCAAGATTGTCATTATCACTTTCCACAAACGTAATGTGATAGGGGACGTAGAAATGGGGAATGTTTCACGTATTATAGCGAGGTACGTACATGACCTAAATATATAGGATGAAACATTTTAGGTCGTGTAAATCACCATCAAACGAATATTACAAGTATGTCGAAATGGAAAATCGTAAATTTAAACAACAATGTTAACATTAACAGAAACAAAGACGGGAAAGGTTATACTAAACATTGTCTCTTTCTTTGAAATAAAAGGATTGTGATATTGATTTTTGTTTGTAACGAAGTAAGATTTTTCGAACCTATGTGTAAATAAACATTCTTTCAAATATATATTTTATCATTTTTATCCATGTTAATTAAACTTACTGTATTTCTTTTCTTTGATGCACACACACACACGCATTGATTACAATTTTATCATAATTATATAATCGGTATATACCCCGCTTAATTTATGTTTTGTCATTTTGTTTCCTACTTGATTGTAACGCTATGTTGACATGTTACAACTATGTAGACAGAAGGTCGTTGTCCTTACCGATCGCTATATGAGTGTATGTATATGGTTACACTGACTGACTGACTGAGTTTGGTTTTACGCCACTTTTAGCAATATTCCAGCAATATCACGGCGGGGGACACCAGAAATGGGCTTCACTCAGTGTACCCATGTGGGGATTCGAACCCGGGTCTTCGGCTTGACGAGCCAACGCTTTAACCACTAGACTACCCCACCGCCCCGTATATGGTTACAATTTTGATGCATTGATGATGGGTATTACCACCCTTTATTCTGATATAGTTCTAAGTCCACCCAAAATCAAAAATCATTTTCCTTATACATGAATGATAAATCTGTTTACACTTTAGGTCAGAAAAAAAAAACTTATGAATCCATATATTTTCTGTATTTTACTCAATATATATTCATATCAATATATTGTAATAAAGAATAAAACTCCACGTGTTGTCCACTTGTCATTCAGAACACGGTGAATACGCCTGTTATCAACATATGGTACGTTTAGGTGAGGATATGTATGTTTTAGATATTATCAATATTGTTATATCATCTTTCTTCACACGTACTTGAAATTTCAACTACGCAGATATTGTGCATAGACCTACCAGCCAGTAAACCGTAGCCATGTGTAATCAAAACGAAATTTATATAACGTAATAACACCTAAAGCGTCATAAGTTTAATCCAGCTGAGGTTATGATGGCGCCTGATATGTCGACATATGATATATAATGGGTTCAGAAGAAAACCCAACAACAGTTTAAGATGCAATGTGTTGATATTGTATTATTCAATATATCGAACTAACAAGGTTAATATCATTGTCTGAAAGTAAACATAATCGTATGTTGTTCCTTTGGTGTTTTCTGTACTACGAGAACATAATTATTCCTGCCTAATGCCTGATTTGCTCAGAATAAGCCACTATACATAGTTCAAGGACACCGTATAGGGGTATGATCTAACACGATATGCGTACGTACAACACACACACACACACACACACACACACACACACACACACACACACACACCCCTCTAAAACATTTTTACAGTAATATATACCTACAGTCAATATGTATTACGATTTCTTTTTTATCAGTTTGATGTATTCTCGCTTTAGGTTTGTGGCGTCTTTTTTTATTTAAGTCGTGTTCACTCAAAATGTCACACCCTTCTTTCAGTGGCAGCTAGGTATACACAACAACACTGGAGTGAACACAGAATATGCTCTACACATATTCGTTATACTTTCGAGATCTATTCGTTGTACTTTCAAGATTGTCGTTATCACTTTCCACAAACGTAATGTGATAGGGGACGTAGAAATAGGGAATGTTTCACGTATTATAGCGAGGTACGTACATGACCAAAATATATAGGATGATACATTGTAGGTTCGTGAAAATCACCATCAAACGAATATTACGAGTATATCGAAATGGAAAATCGTAAATGGAAACAACAATGTTAACATTAACAGAAACAAAGACAGGAATGGTTATACTAAACATTGTCTCTTTCTTTGAAATGTAAGGATTGTGATATTGATTTTTGTTTGTAACGAAGTAAGACTTTTCGAACCTATGTGTAAATAAACATGCATTCAAATATATATTTTATCATTTTTATCCATGTTAATTAAACTTACTGTATTTCTTTTCTTTGATGCACACACACGCATTGATTACAATTTTATCATAATTATATAATCGGTATATACTCCGCTTAATTTGTGTTTTGTCATTTTGTTTCCTACTTGATTGTAACGCTATGTTGACATGTTACAACTATGCAAACAGAAGGTCGTTGTCCTTACCGATCACTATATGAGTGTATGTATATAGTTACAATTTTGATGCATTGATGATGGGTATTACCACCCCTTTATTCTGATATATTTCTGAGTCTACCCTAAAGACAAAATCAAAAATCCTTTTCCTTATACATGAATGATATATCTGTTTACACTTTAGGTCAGAAAAAAACGTTATGAATCCATATATTTTCTGTATTTTACTCAATATATATTCATATCAATATATTCTAATAAAGAATAAAACTCCACGTGTTGTCCTCTCGTTATTCAGAAGACGGTGAATACGCCTGTTATCAACATCTGGTATGTTTAGGTGAGGATATGTGTGTTTTAGATATTATCAATATTGTTATATCATCTTTCTTCACACGTACATGAAATTTCAACTACGCAGATATTGTGCATAGACCTACCAGCCAATAAACCGTAGCCATGTGTAATCAAAACGAAATTTATATAACGTAATAACACCTAAAGCGTCATAAGTTTAACCCAGCTGAGGTTATGATGGCGCCTGATATGTCGACATATGATATATAATGGGTTCAGAAGAAAATCCAACAACATTTTAAGATGCAATGTGTTGATATTATATTATTCAATATATCGAACTAACAAGGTTAATATCACTGTCTGAAAGTAAACATAATCGTATGTTGTTCCTTTGGTGTATTCTGTACTACGAGAACATAATTATTCCTGCCTAATGCCTGATTTGCTCAGAATAAGCCACTATACATAGTTCAAGGACACCGTATAGGGGTATGATCTAACACGATATGCGTACGCACAACAAACACACACACACACACACACACACACACACACACACACACACCTCTAAAACATTTTTACAGTAATATATACCTACAGTCAATATGTATTACGATTTCTTTTTTATCAGTTTGATGTATTCTCGCTTTAGGTTTGTGGCGTCTTTTTTTATTTAAGTCGTGTTCACTCAAAATGTCACACCCTTCTTTCAGTGGCAGCCAGGTATACACAACAACACTGGAGTGAACACAGAATATGCTGTACACATATTCGTTATACTTTCGAGATCTATTCGTTGTACTTTCAAGATTGTCGTTATCACTTTCCACAAACGTAATGTGATAGGGGACGTAGAAATAGGGAATGTTTCACGTATTATAGCGAGGTACGTACATGACCAAAATATATAGGATGATACATTGTAGGTTCGTGAAAATCACCATCAAACGAATATTACGAGTATATCGAAATGGAAAATCGTAAATGGAAACAACAATGTTAACATTAACAGAAACAAAGACAGGAATGGTTATACTAAACATTGTCTCTTTCTTTGAAATGTAAGGATTGTGATATTGATTTTTGTTTGTAACGAAGTAAGACTTTTCGAACCTATGTGTAAATAAACATGCATTCAAATATATATTTTATCATTTTTATCCATGTTAATTAAACTTACTGTATTTCTTTTCTTTGATGCACACACACGCATTGATTACAATTTTATCATAATTATATAATCGGTATATACTCCGCTTAATTTGTGTTTTGTCATTTTGTTTCCTACTTGATTGTAACGCTATGTTGACATGTTACAACTATGCAAACAGAAGGTCGTTGTCCTTACCGATCACTATATGAGTGTATGTATATAGTTACAATTTTGATGCATTGATGATGGGTATTACCACCCCTTTATTCTGATATATTTCTGAGTCTACCCTAAAGACAAAATCAAAAATCCTTTTCCTTATACATGAATGATATATCTGTTTACACTTTAGGTCAGAAAAAACGTTATGAATCCATATATTTTCTGTATTTTACTCAATATATATTCATATCAATATATTCTAATAAAGAATAAAACTCCACGTGTTGTCCTCTCGTTATTCAGAAGACGGTGAATACGCCTGTTATCAACATCTGGTATGTTTAGGTGAGGATATGTGTGTTTTAGATATTATCAATATTGTTATATCATCTTTCTTCACACGTACATGAAATTTCAACTACGCAGATATTGTGCATAGACCTACCAGCCAATAAACCGTAGCCATGTGTAATCAAAACGAAATTTATATAACGTAATAACACCTAAAGCGTCATAAGTTTAACCCAGCTGAGGTTATGATGGCGCCTGATATGTCGACATATGATATATAATGGGTTCAGAAGAAAATCCAACAACATTTTAAGATGCAATGTGTTGATATTATATTATTCAATATATCGAACTAACAAGGTTAATATCACTGTCTGAAAGTAAACATAATCGTATGTTGTTCCTTTGGTGTATTCTGTACTACGAGAACATAATTATTCCTGCCTAATGCCTGATTTGCTCAGAATAAGCCACTATACATAGTTCAAGGACACCGTATAGGGGTATGATCTAACACGATATGCGTACGCACAACAAACACACACACACACACACACACACACACACACACACACACACACACACACCTCTAAAACATTTTTACAGTAATATATACCTACAGTCAATATGTATTACGATTTCTTTTTTATCAGTTTGATGTATTCTCGCTTTAGGTTTGTGGCGTCTTTTTTTATTTAAGTCGTGTTCACTCAAAATGTCACACCCTTCTTTCAGTGGCAGCCAGGTATACACAACAACACTGGAGTGAACACAGAATATGCTGTACACATATTCGTTATACTTTCGAGATCTATTCGTTGTACTTTCAAGATTGTCGTTATCACTTTCCACAAACGTAATGTGATAGGGGACGTAGAAATAGGGAATGTTTCACGTATTATAGCGAGGTACGTACATGACCAAAATATATAGGATGATACATTGTAGGTTCGTGAAAATCACCATCAAACGAATATTACGAGTATATCGAAATGGAAAATCGTAAATGGAAACAACAATGTTAACATTAACAGAAACAAAGACAGGAATGGTTATACTAAACATTGTCTCTTTCTTTGAAATGTAAGGATTGTGATATTGATTTTTGTTTGTAACGAAGTAAGACTTTTCGAACCTATGTGTAAATAAACATGCATTCAAATATATATTTTATCATTTTTATCCGTGTTAATTAAACTTACTGTATTTCTTTTCTTTGATGCACACACACGCATTGATTACAATTTTATCATAATTATATAATCGGTATATACTCCGCTTAATTTGTGTTTTGTCATTTTGTTTCCTACTTGATTGTAACGCTATGTTGACATGTTACAACTATGCAAACAGAAGGTCGTCGCCTTACCGATCACTATATGAGTGTATGTATATGGTTCCAATTTTGATGCATTGATGATGTGTATTACCACCCTTTATTCTGATATAGATCTGAGTTTACCCAAAATCAAAAACCCTTACCTTATACATGAATGATAAATCTGTTTACACTTTAGGTCAGAAAAAACGTTATGAATCCATATCTATTTCTTTATTTTACTCAATATATATTCATATCAATATATTCTAATAAAGAATAAAACTCCACGTGTTGTCCACTCGTCATTCAGAAGACGGTGAATACGCCTGTTATCAACATATGGTACGTTTCGGTCAGGATATGTGAGTTTTAGATATTATCAATATCGTTATGTCATCTTTCTTCACACGTACATGAAGTTTCTACTACCCAGATATTGACCTACCAGTCAGTAAACCGTTGCCATGTGTAATCAAAATGTGCGACATGTTCTAGTTCACAAATCGAAAAGAATCGTTCATGCATTTATGACTGAATGATTTTTTATGTCGTAACCCTAACATATTCAAGTTCGGGAAGTAATCAAAACACTGCATGCTCACGGACAAGTTTTAACATCTGCAGAAACAAAATTGACTTGAAGTTGTCCTTCATGTCAGTTGACATACTCCGTGCCTAGCAATAGAACACCACACAGCTGCTGAGTGAGACGTGATCTCTACAATGCTATATTGAAAGAGCCTCTCATGCTGATTTGTGACAGATCTATGGCAATTACAACACAGTCTATGAAACGGAGGAGTTCACACAATGAATGAGTTTGAAAAAGCATATGTACTTATGATCAGCTATATGCTCATGATCAGCGTGTATTACATTTACTTTCGCACCTCCCCGGCTATAACTAACCCCAACTCCTTGTTGAGCTCTGAAAGGTTTAATTTTACAATGCCACACATAGTTAATGGGTGAATAGGTACAAACATGGAAAGCTCGTCTCAAAACCGGTAGAATTGAATGTGATGTGCGACTCTTGCTAAAATGTGTTAGACGACCCAAGTAAAGCATTAAAAAAGTGCTAACGAGGACAGAATTAATTATTTATTGTTGAATGATGAACGATGTACTTTCTTTGCGAAGAAATGGGCCAACTGTGAGACAATTTGTGCTCAACTTTTCGCGAACTTTCTGATTGCTAAAAGCTTATGATATAGCGGGAATCTAACAGTTTACATCGACCAATAGGTCTGTGATTATCAA